TGGACGCATGCGTGATGAATGTGCGCATGCGTAGTAGCGGAAGTTACATTTTCGGTAGGTGTAACATTTTCGGTAGTGACAGAACCCAAAAGACGAAAATACAGAAGTTCCGGAACTGCGTTCCGGCCCACTTCAAGCACTGGTTAAAACAATAAATAAATAAAATGTGCCGAGTACAATAAAACACTAAATTAACACTTGCATTAAAACGGAACTTTTTAAATTATCCGACAGCGTCTGAGATAAGTACCTTTGAAAATAAACTTTTAAAATAACCAAATTAACAGTTAACTACCCGAGACTAACTTCCTGCTGAACCACGTTCAACTACAATAAAGCGAAGTTGCTACAGGGAGGCCAAAAAACCACAAAAAACCCTCCCATAGCAGGCTACTGCCGTAACAGGAAAAAAGTGGAAAATGTCCTCCCAGCTCCGACTGGTGACCGAGCAAATCTCAGGGGCACCTGTCCTTTTCCGAGTTTATATTACCAACGTTAGATAACATTACCTGGCAGTTGTTTGTTGCGAAGGTACGCGGACAGAAACGGCACTTGTGCAACACCCGCAGCTATCGATAACACCCGCGCTGTCTATTAACAAGGACAGACAAGTACTCACGCAGACTGAGGAAAAAAAATAAAACAACAACCACCCACGTAACCGTATTGGCACACAAACACTCAGATATACTTCCAAATAATTCCAGTCAACCACTTTAACAGGCCTACAACACAAGTGCACACAGCGTCTACACCACTGCCTCACAGTGCAGCAATCCCAGCAGCCCAGGAATCAGCAGTCCAATCAGCAGTTTCCAATGTTTCATTATTATCTTAACTGGTAAACACAACATTTCATTCATCTATATATATATATATATATATATATGGTGTGTGTTTGTTAATTTTATGCATATGAAAGGTAGGAAATCTTTAATATTTATAAAACATTCCTTTTGAAGCTAATAAGAAGAAGGCACACAAAACTTTTGGAAATTCTTGGTAATGAAAATATTACTGTGATTTTAAAAAAATTCTTTATAGAACTGTAATTTTATTGTGTATACATTACCTGCAATGGCATAAAACAACTCTTAAATTGCCTGCACTCGCAGGTGTCCGGGAAAGACAATGAAAACCCAAAGGAAATATTTCAGGCCCAAACAGTGCCGCTTGCAAAATATCTCAAGTCAATGCACATTGTCTGTGTTACGATTGGCGTGCGAGGCAAAAGGGGAATCAGATGAGAGAGCCGTGAATACTATAACACGGGGTTTATTCAGGGCAGACAGCAACGAATATCAAACATCAATGACAGATCTGGGGAATACTGACTCAGACGCAGACTAAATACACGGAACAAGTTGAACATAACAGGCAACAGATGAATACAATCGGGAATTAACACGAGGTAACGAGGGGGAGTGGCACACACTCGGATCGGACGAGCCGGGCGTGACACTGTGTGGCTGTGAGAGCCCGACTTCACCTAGTTGGACTTCTACTATACAGAGCTAATAAATCTTTAAGATATAATATTCAATCTCAGCTGAAGCGGTATCTTTTGAAAAGAATATCATCCGGCAACAATAAAGGATCTTGCTGATCGTGCAAAACCCTCTCAATTTGAAATTCCCTTCTTATTATTTGTGCACCGATTGCAATCGGTCACTCATCCATGAATGGCGAGGCCATAACTGAACGGATTTCCATGCATGGATGCTGATTAAGTGTATGATCTAATCCTTGTTTACGTAGAACATGACAATACTATGACAATACATCCAGCAAGAGTTTCGTAAAACCGGCAGATCCAGGATCATGCCAAATCGTCAACAATTACATCCGGCTAAATGAGTAATCCACGTACGAAAAACACCCCCAGATACAAGTAAAATCCAAAAGCTAAGGATAAAACAAAATAAATAAATAAAAAAATTAAAAGTGAGGTCACCTTCAGTAGAGGCTTGAAGCCACAAGTGGCTTTTGTCTTTTATTTGAATACGCCTTTGGTAAAGCACTTTGAATTGCCTTGTTTCTGAATTATGCTGTATGAATAAACTTGCCTTGCCTTGCCTTGTCTTTTGAACCAGCCACGCAACCCATGAGCTACAGTACATCGCAGCCCAGAAAGCAGGGAAACATATGAGGGACGTAGGGCTACAAAACAGAGTGAACAGGATGGCCAGCAAGATCTGTTGGCCAAACAGAGACAAACGAATTGGACAGGGCCAAACAGACACCAAACCTGACAAAAGTCTTTTTATCCTTCTGAGTTGTTGTACGGTCCTATTGCATTGCAGGGTTCTTTCTATGTATATAAAAGTGATGCACTGTTCTCCACTTCTTTTTACAGATCGATGGATGTAAGTCTGTATTTTGCTTGTTTTTTTTTTGTATAAATTTGTCAGTAACTCTTTACTTGAGGGGGCACAAATAATACAGTTTTAAACTCCAACTTATGTATTAATTACCCAAAAAGTAAGTTTAAGTTACGTACTGATCTCATGCTTGTTCATCATTAATGAATCGCGACACATTTTTTATCCCAAGCAGTTACTATATTTGTTACTATATCTGTTAATTTAGTAAAACTTTGTGAACTAATGAAGGAACTAATTAATGAATAATGAAACATCTCATATTTGTTCATCATTAAAGGGGACCCATTTTCATTGTTCATAATTTTACTTTTGTGGTCTACTACAATAGATGTACATGATTCAATTAACATTATTAATCTCATACTGTACATCTCTGTTCACTCTAGCTGAAATGCTCTGTTAAAGCTTTAAGCCCACCCCTGATGAGTTCATTGTGCTGTGATTGGCCAGCTTGCCTGATTGGTCAGCTTGCCCAATTGGTCAGCTTGCCCTACGTATTCCGACCCTATCTTGCAGTCTGCAGACTAGGGGTGGAAAGTTCAGGTCCAGAAAGTACAATACAAATTCAGAACCAAGGTTTTGTTTCTACAACTGAGTATAAAGAGTCACAGTCTCTTTCTACTGGTCAGTAGAAACAAAACCTTGGATTTGTAATTTCTGGACCTGAACTTTCCACCCCTGCTACAGACAGAACGTTAAGGTAGGCAGCCAATAAGGATTGTGCTATGAGGTGACCTCACCATGTCATGGAATTCCAACGAGGGGTTTCTGTGGTGAGAGTTATTCCCTTTGGCATGTACTTTGGACTTTAACGACTTAGCAAACCATTTACATGCACATGCAACTATATAACACACTAAAGGAAAGGGAAACACATAATAGGGCCCCTTTAATGAATCTTTTATCTTAAGCAGTTACTATATTGGTTACAGTAACACGTTACTTGAGGGGACACAATGTCATCACATTTACTTAATGCATTAATTAATCATTAAGTAAGTGTTAGTTTATCATTAATAAATTATGATAGTTTATGTATTCCATACAGGAACTGTCAGTTAATTAACTAACTTAACTAATAATAACTGTCATGATTGATTACTGGTGAAGAAGCATGGAATCAGTGCATAACTAACACTGAATTACTGATTATTTAATGCATTAAATAAGCATGTTCTACTACATTATTTGTCCTCAAGTAAAGTAAGTTACCTTTGTTACTTTATTCTCCTGAGACCCAAGGAAAAAAGTGTCCTTCAATTGTAGGTTATTTGTCTTTGGAGGAAATAAGACGTCTTGCAATTTAGATTTTTTCAAATTTATTCTTATTTGAATTTCACAGCATGTCCTCTTTAGTGCACAACAAGAATAAATACGTTTCCCAACATCAGTGAAAAAATAAATGCAAAAATACAATGTCCACTACAATGGACATAAATGAATAGGTCGGGTCACAGGAGGATATACAATGGTACCTTGGAACACAAACTTAATTAATTCCAGAAGGCTGGTTGAGTTGTGATTTGGTTACAGTCCAAGTCAAATTTCCCCATAAGAAATAATGTAAATTAATTTAATCTTTTCCAGACCCCCAAATGATTGTCTATTTAAAGCTATTTACCTACCTAACTAATGATAAAAGCATTAACAATCAATCTAAAAGTAGTACACATGAAAAACACACAAAAACACTAAACATGAAATAAATAATTTATGAGCACTTTACCTGTACTGAGGTGAACTGATGGCTTACTGGAAGTGGCAGGTGGAGAGGAGGAGGGATGGAGGGGTTATTGTTTGGAAGGGGAGATCCATCTCAATCTGTAAATGTTTCATCAACTATATCTATCTTCGTTTGTACTTCATTGGTAACTGAGTTACTAAGTATTTGTGCCCCCTCAAGTAAAGTGTTACCAGTATGTCTGTCTGTACTTCTTGTTGTAGATATTGATGTGTCTCTGTACTGTACGTGAGATAAAGAAATAAATGTCTTTTTCTAACTTCATCTACCTTGCTTGTTTTTGATTTGCAGCTGCTTCTGGGGGTGGCACGGGGCTTGGTGGGTAGTGCTGTCACCACACGCCTGGGTGTGGGTTCAGATCCTGCCCTGTGTGTGGAGTTTGCATGTTCTCTCTGTGTGGTGTGTGGGTTTTCTCTGGGAGTATTGAATTCCTCCTGTTGTCTTGAAGAAGTGTAGTTAGTCTAATTGATGTTGCTTAATTGCCCCTAGTGCAATTTTGCATGTGGCTTGTGATGGACCAGTCCAGGATTAGAAGGTAGATGGATGGATTGTTCTTAGGTTATAGGATTGTGGTTATCAGTACAAAGTCACCAAAAAGTTAGGAATACATTTGAAGAGCAAATTTCCAAAACTCATTCAGTCTGCTTTTTTTAAATGTTTAAAAAAATTCTGTGGGCTTTTTGTTTTGGAAATTTAACAAAAGATTTTTTACAAAAGGTAATCTGTTGTGTGTGAGCAGGTCTGTTTGTGCTAAGCATTACCATCAGTAGGTAACCCATTAATGTGTGTGAGCTGGCCTGTCTGTCATGCCCTGCTCATCCGATCCTCCTAAACTTCGTGTGAAATCCTGATCGTTTCCTGTTTTTTCCATTGAGTCCTGTGTATGTCAGTCCGCGTTCGAGTATGTTTCCCGAGGTCTGTCATTGAAGTCTAACTGTGTAGTGCTGCCTGTCTTTACCTGTCCCTGCTCCCTTTTTCCGTTAAATCCTGTGTTACCCCATCCTCTCCTGCTTCCCTGCTCCATGCACCGCGATCGGTCATGACAGGATGACAGACCTCCAAAAGAAGATGCCTCGAAACGGCAACGAAAAGGCTTCCATCCTCACCGATTAAGAATACCTCAACCTCACCGATGTCTCTACTGGCTACGGCAACCCGAGATCTGGGAGGATCCAGCTGCCCAAGCCCTAGCTAACAGGAGCAGGAACTATTGTCCCTGCCCGGCGATGTGCACCAAGCAAATGAGGTGCGCAAAAACCTTCGGCAGCTGAGAGAAAAGGCGTTTGAATTGATGATGCGGTAGGTAGCAATCAACAGCAGATTATCCCACAATCCGCTGCCTGAAGCACCCATGGTTTCGTCAAAAACAGGGCGAAGGCAGAGACGGCGGAGTTCCTGGAAGCAGGAATACACGCTGGGGATCCTCCTTGGGACTACCCTGGTTTCCTGTGTTTCCCCTGCCAGGTGTTGGAAGACGCCCCTTCCGATTCTGGACCCAGCAGTGTTCAGCCCTGACGTCAACACCGCCGCTTTGCGCAAGCGGGTGCCCGAAGCCTGCATCACCGCCGCAAGGAGCGCAGCGCACCCGCCTGCTCCTTCGCTGCCAGTGCCGGCAGCTCGTCCCTTTGCAGGGATGTGCCTGGCACTTAAGGAGGCCAGGTCGGTTAGGGACGCTATCCTGCGGGTTCCCAGGATCCCTAAATGGGCAGCGACCACTGCTAAGGTGCAAACCCCTCCAGAGGTTCCTGCGCGAGTGGACGATGTTTCACTCCTCGCGGTTCCTGCACCGGCGGTCAATGCTCTGCTCCCCATGGTTCCAGCACCGACGGTTGATGCTCGGCCCGTTCCTGATGTTTTTGCTCTGCCCATTTCTGATCTGCCCGACCTGCCTGTTCCTGGCCTGCCTGTACCTGGTGTTCCTGACCCTGCTCGGAGGCCCCTGCTGTGTCACCGCCCGGCAAGGTTCCAGTCCCGGTGGCTGTCATGCCACCCTGCGGGGTTCTAGTCCCAGCGGCTGATGCATCACCCTGTGTGGTTCCAGTCCCAGCGGCTGACGCGCCACCCGGCGGGGTTCCAGTACCACCAGCTGACATACCGTCCTGTGGGGTTCCAGTTCCAGCAGTTGATGCGCCATCCTGCAAGGTTCCAGTCCCGGCAGCTGACACGCCACCCTGTGGAGTTCCAGTCCCGGTCCCTGACCTGGCCCCAGAGGTTCCCGCTCTGCCTGTTCCAGACCTGCCCCCAGTGCCTCTGGTTCCAGTCCCTCCGGCTCTAGTTCCCACGGGTTCCTGAACCAGTTTGTGCACCACCAGCTCCCAAGCCCCCAGTTCCTGTCCCCGAGGAGGTTCCGGACTGCGCGACCACTGTTCCTTCTCCCTTTGAGGAGGAGGAGCTCGAATGGGACCCCTCAGGGGTTCCCCTGGTGGCCCCACTGGACCCCTCCAGGGGAGTAACCCCTCTAAAGCCTCCACAGCAGGGCAGATCCCAGCCAAGTCCCCACTTTTCAGTCTCCTGGAAGGGGAGAGGACATCTACGCCGGGGTTGTGTCCCACCCGCCCAGCACCCTGACTCAGCCTCAGTACCCCAGGCTTCTGCTCGGTGTTTCGGCTCGGGGGTCGCCTTCAGTCCCTCCTGCGGCACCTTGTCGGCCGACTATGGTCCTACCTCAGCCGCCTTATTGGTCGCCTTCGGAACTCCCCGCTCCAACTTGTCGGTCGCCTACACCTTCGTCAGCTGTAGCAGTGCCTTCACCTGCGGCGGCTCCTGCTCCCTCCTCCCCTCTGCTACTTTCCACTTCGTCTTCATCTTCCTCCTTGCCCAGTTCTCCTGCTCCTTCCTTACACTCGCCGAGGGTCCCTCCGGCTCCGACTTTGTGGTCATCTGCTGCCCCTGCGGCTTCCACCTCTTGCCCACTGGGGTTCCCTCAGGCTCCCCATTGTCCCCTGTCCTTCCGGCCACCTGTGTCTGCTCCTCGTCCCTCTTGCCTTCGTTCACTCCTGGTCCCTTCCTTCCTCCCGTTGGTGTTTCCCCTGTGTCTCCTTGCTTAGTGCCCCTGTGCCTGTTTGCCTTCCCTGTGGTTTGTCAGTGGTTGTCTGGCCTGTTGTTCCTGTGCCCATTCTGTATGTCCGTCCTGTTTCCGATGTCCTGTTATTGTTCTTGGTTTTGTTTCCCCAGGTCCTGTGCAGTTCCCAGTCTCGTCCGTCACTCCCCTTGGGGTGTGCCCAGAGTGCGCGCCTTTTGGGGAGGGGGGGTTCTGTCGTGCCCTGTTCGTCTGATCCTCCTGTGTGCCACACCCCCTCATTAACCTCTTGTGAAATCCTGATTGTTAACAGCTGTTTCCTGTTTTTTTCCCATTGAGTCTAACTGTGTAGTGCTGCATGTCTTTACCTGTTCCATGTCCCTGCTCCCTTTTTATATTAAATCCTGTTTTACCCCATACAACCTGTTCCTCTCCTGCTTCCCCGCTCCGTGCACCACGATTGGTCACGACACTGTCTGAGCTGCACATTAACATCAGTGGCAAGGTTGTATCCAACTATGAGGTCACCGTGATCCAGACCTCAGTAATTTTTTAAGAGTTTAAAATTTAAATTGCCGCTGAATATTAACCTGAATAAAAACTTAGGCTAACTAATGTTTCACGTTACTAATTACTTTAGACAAAAAAAAACAGCTTATGAAGGGGACGGAATCGATAATGTGATTGATGAGACCCACCCCTCACCCCAGGGTCCTGGACCTCACTATTTTTCAAATCCTGGCTATGGCCCTGGTCAGTAGGTAACCCATTAGTGTGTGTGAGTAGGCCTGTTTGTGCTGAGCATTAGTGTTAGTAGGTAACCTGTTATTGTGTGTGTGGCTGATTCTGGTCCTCTCCCATCCCTCACAGCTTTCTGAGGCCATTAGTAACTGCCAATCAGTGAACAATTCCTGGACGGGCCAAAAAACTCAACCTTCTTCTGGGACAATGTGGTCTGGAGAGCCAAGCCAACCATGCTGGCCTGGAGAACAACCAGCGCAGTCAAACTTCCCCTATTTTCCTGGGCAACCAACCTCATCTACTGCCCCCAGCTGGCCTGGAAATCCAGGACAATCAGCTGGACAACCAGGCCAGGTGCTCTGCCCAGAGCAGCCAAACCCACCTGTTGTACTTGGCTGGCAAGGACAGTCCAGCTGGCCCACTCAGCCAGCCATACCCGCCCTGCACCCCGGCCAGCCCGGATGGCCCGGCCAGACCCCATCCACTCCATCCCAGCCCTGGCCCTGCCCACCCATTGCACCATTGGTGAGAAACCCTGCTCTTGGTTACAGTCTCCTTCAGGCAGTAATTCATCATATCACTTCGCACAGGAAATAACCCCTAGTAGGGCTGGGCTAGCAATGATTTGGCAGCAACATGAGGGCACACTGGCCTGCGGGGTATCCACATGTTATCAAGTATCTCCATGGTCTGTTATGCATTTCAAAGTCATCAATCCTATACCCTATAACATCCATGATCAAATAATCAAATAATGTTATAAGCATTTTCCTATTTCAACATATTTTAACTTACTTCAAGACTGTTGTGTGTGAGCAGGTCTGTTTGTGCTAAGCATTACCATCAGTAGGTAACCCATTAATGTGTGTGAGCTGGCCTGTCTGTCATGCCCTGCTCATCCGATCCTCCTAAACTTCGTGTGAAATCCTGATCGTTTCCTGTTTTTTCCATTGAAAAAGACTTACTTATGGTTTGTGCCAGCGCAAACCGTCTTTTTGAGTTAAAATTGTACTGTCAGGATTTACTAAAGATGCATATGGAAAAGTCAATGGTGGGCAGGCATTGACACAGTAAATTTTGCACCTGGCCATATTGCATTTGCATTTGTTGGAGTCCCCTTGTATCTTGTAATGCTTAATAGTTAATGTATGAAGCAGCAGTTAGATTGGCAGTCCTCTCTTTTTCTCTTTTTCTCTCATACAGGCAGTGCCATACCACATCGACCTCCCGAGAGGAATGTATGACAGGATGCTGATCACCATCCGCGGGCAGGTCAACCACAATGCTAACAAGTGAGCTGGCACTCTGGCAGTGTGTGGGGAAGGGACACTCACTATACTCACAGCTCATTAAAGATTAGAGGTCATTTGACACATGCTCTTTCTTGTTGATTCAATACAGTTTATTTTTATATAGAGCCTTTCACAACAGTGTCTCCCGAAGGTGCTTTATATGGGCATGTTTTGTTACATTACAACATCATTAAGAGCGAACAATACAAAAACAGGGAAAAGGAGAAATGAGAGAAAGGGAAACGAGAGAAATAAAGTCAGATGACAATGGAGGAGAGGAACCAAAAACTCCCAAGTGGGGAGAAAAAAAAACAGCAAAGCAGCCCCAAAACAAAACAGAGCTCCCTCCATGTTTCACAGTAGGCATGGTGTTCTTTTGTTTTAAAGCTTCATATTTGCTCCTGTAAACGTAGAGCTGATGTGACTGGACAAAAAGCTCCAGTTTTGCCTCATCAGTCCAAAGGACATTCTCCCAGAAACTTTGGGGCTTGTCAACGTTCATTTTGGTGAATTCCACTATGGCTTTCTCATGTTTTTCTGTCAATAGTGGAGCCCTCCTGGGTCTTCTTTCATGGAGCCCATTATTGTTCAAAATGCGACGGATGGTGCAATCAGAAAGTGACATACCTTGACCTTGGAGCTCAGCTTGAATGGTTTTGATTGGTTTCCTTGGCTCTTTTTCTACCATCCACACCATCCTTATGATCAAACTGGGGTTACATTTCCTCTTGCATCCACGTCCTGAGAGGTTTGCTACAGTCCCATGAACCTTACACTCACCTAAAGGATTATTAGGAACACCATACTAATACGGTGTTTGACCCCCTTTCGCCTTCAGAACTGCCTTAATTGTACGTGGCATTGAT